CACATTAATAACCACTTTGAACAACTGCCGAGAAAGCCTACTTACAAGTGGAAAAAAGGTTAATAATCATGTCATCGGGCGCTAGCAGTGATAACCCAATTAAAAAGTTCGCAAACCAGGCAAGTTGGAAATGATAACCGTATATCGCCATATGTAAAACACAACTAACCCTTATTCACTCGGGATCACCTGCTCCACTCGCTCGCAAGCTCGCTCGTGTCGCAAACATAAACTTTCTGAATAATAAGCGTCGTAATTCAGGTCGTCGAACGGGTGGAAGGTATTTCTTGAAAATACGTTAAAGAACAATAGATAAATTCCGTGGATCTCAGTGGAGGACTTAAACCTATACGAGATCCAAGACCCTTTAAAAGGGAATTACGTAATTTTGATCTCTTTCCTTAGTTAATAATGCTTTCTGCAATACTCGTAGGTTGCGGTTTGTGGTGTTTTTGTACGTACTGTTCAGTGAATAACTTGTTTGTTTGACCTACTTGAGAAATGGAAAATTAAATTACAATTTCCTATCGTCCCGATTAAAAGGTTGCACCTGACGTAATTGTTACTTTGGCCAATAAATGAAACGCTTCATTGGAAAATGACAAACGCTAAAAATTACACACATTGTCGTTACATCTAGAATGTTGGGGGACATACTTAATTTATAAACGCTTGTATTCGCCGCATCCGGTTTTAAAACTGTCATTCGCATCGCCGTAATAAAATTTTAATGCCATCAATGTCAATCAATACGAGAACCGGAGAACACATTGTGCAAGTTGTTATTATAAATGCAAAACAAGGTGGTTAATAGGAAAGCCAATATTATGTGTGCATTAGCTAAAGTATAGAAATTTAATGTTTTAAATTAGTTTATTGATTGAAAGTGAAAAATTGAGAGCAGAAATGTACACTGCATATCATAAAATATTTGTTTCATGTGGTATCATTCTTCTTCACTGCATATACAAAATGCTCTAATTTTATAAATTAATTTTTTAATTTTTAATGTGCTTAGACTGTAAAATGCATACTTATGTTTAAAACCTGTCTTCTTGCCCTTTTCCTTCGTTTTTTCTCACGTTTTTTGTTCTTCTTTAACTTATATATAGTTTTCACTCTGTCATTCAACGATCAAAATATTTTTAAAAAACCGCATGGAATAGATGTTAATTGTATACTAGAGTTTTACAGGAAGTTACCCTTTAACTCTTTTATATTTATTTTTCGAGTAGTAGCACAAAGTTGTACTTTTTCAATTGGAACGTACCTATTTTTTTAATGGTACTAAGCTGAGAATTCTTCTCGCAACATTGTGATGCGGAAGTAATAAGTGTAAGTGTAATAACATTACACTAAAACCATGCAATGTAGTACCTATGATAAAGTTAAAATGTTAAATTCTAGTACGAATAACTTCTATATTATGTTCTTTTTATTGTTAAAAAGTAAGTGATATATATCTAGAAAACCATTCCCCAAAACGTTTCTCATGTCTGTGCATCGAATTTGCGACACCCTTTACATATTTAATGATGGTTGCCGGAGGAGTTTACAAAACACAAATTACTGGAAACTCCGTAACATTTGCGGTCATCATCTACGAACAATATGCGTCAATAATGCTGGATAATAATCTACTTAGTGCTTTGCATGTTATCTCACCGCCTTAGTTTTGTGGTTATAAAGAGCCGAGCCGATGTACTAAGTTCATTTCTTTTGGAAACTGGCAATTTACATTTAAAGCGAATTTGTAACTGTAGTTAATCAAAGTTTAGTATGCCACCGTTTGTGACAAACTTGGATGCAGGATATGCGAATAATAATCCCTCAATTTATGTTCCCTTTGACGAACTTTCAGCAAAAGTGCATCAAATTTTCCTTTCGGTGACCCAAGCGTCAAATACTTTCTCTATAAGGTAATTTGTTTAATTATATTTCAACAAAAAATATGTACTAAGTGCGTAATGCGGATCTTTCTTTATGGATGAGCCGTGCTTATAAGTTATAATACATGGCGGTTTACTTTCGAGTTTCGTGACTGAGGGAGGGGATGTTTTTTTATAGGACATTAATTTGAGAGGTTTCGTTCTAGATTACCACATTTTGTAAGAAAATCAAACCCGTGCAAGAAACTTCCATTTTGAATGTACGGGCCGTGGTGCGGCATGCTCTTTGTTGCTATTCTCAAATGAAGGTTTTCATCGTGAATAGTCCAACCATTTTTGTGGATAACAAAAATTAACTGAATATCCCCCCACCCTGCCCCATTCTTTTTTAATTTTTAACTTTTAACATTGAAAATGTTTATGTTTTCCTATATGGGTGCAAAGTTCTGAGATTCGTTGACGGCCAAAAGGCAACAAGGTGGCATCAAGTGGCAATTGTACCGTAGTCGGCCGTGATCGGTAGGTTGAGAAAGTTGCGAATACTGTCGATACGGTACATGCTTAATGGTGCTCATTTGTTTTGTTAATTCCTATCGAAAATTCTCGCACATCTGCTTTAGTAGTATTACGAGCATGTAACGACGCTTATTATTCAAGTTTTTAAAATCATAGTGCTATGTGCAATGGCAAACGGTATAACGGCGGCGACCGACCTGTATATGTATACTTCAAATTCGCAATGCGATTGAAGTATCGTTATCAATCTCGTCTGCAGGTGACGCGGAAATTTTAAGAATTTATATAGGCACATTGTTCGACATGTACGCTGGTGCAGTAAGGCGATTTAATTTTCGTTGCGATTTTAGGAAACGTAGAGAATTCTACTGCGTAGACTTGTTATCCAAATCAGCCCGTAAACAATTAAAGCCTGGGTGGTCTGGTCATTGAGTGGCAATAAATAAATACCAGTAATATTTACCCAAAACTTGGAGTGAAGAGTATTCTACAAAAAAAGGGGAACAGCCAACATTCTTACGCCTACCGAAATTCAGTATGAGTAGCGTATGTGTGCCCGTTACTCCATAATCTGTCTAGTAATATTATATTCTTGTTTGTTTACGTTAATTATATCGGCACTTCGGCGTTACGTGGAAGTGCCACCATTTTTGAAATATTTTACATTGATTGGGCCTTCAGAGTAACTCCCAAGTACACATTTTCAAAAACCTACCTATTTTACATCCCCAGAAACGTTTAACTAAAGTTCCCAAAAAACACCCTGTATTTTTAAAAAGTGAAACTTTACAAGAATGTGAAACTCTACCGCCTCGTCTACCGCGTATCATCGTGTATCGATATATACTGCAATGAACCGCAACTTATTTTACATCAAAAACGATTTGAGTAATTTCTTTCAAAAATGAATTACCTATCCTAGGAATTATCTTTACTAACAAAAAAGTAGGGGTTATCAGAGAAATTTAGTAAATTCGGTAAAGATGCTCTAACATTTATGCGGGAGAAGGATGCATTATTCATTCCGTATTTTCTTTGATAGAAGCACGAGTTCTCAAAAGAAAACGTCCGCTTTTAATTACATTACTGAAATGGTTCAATCGATTTTCATTCCTTAATACTTTTTGACTAAGAGATTTGGTTGTAATATTTCAAAAATCTCCGGCTCTACCCAGTAGATTGGTACAAATAGATCAGACATGTTTGATTTATTAAATCTAACACTAATGTAGTGCAATGAAAACGAATAACTTCCGCTAAGAAACCGCTCCCACAAATGAAATAAAAATCTAGATAATTTACAGCTTGATTTATATAACCTTTTTCACTATATACTAGGTATATCTACTCATCCATCATTTTTATTTCGTGAGAAATTTTAAAATACCACTCGGGAATAGATAAATACAGAATGTAATACAGTTTCGACCATTTCAATGCAATAGTTTCATACATTTTGGATTACATGAGAAGATTGCAGAACGTTAACACCAAACTGTGAATAGCGGAATATTCCGGTTCTTCTTTAGATTGATATACCTTTTGTATATTTTTACTGCTGTAACAGAAGCCGTGCCATAAAAGCAGAAGCTAAATGCGATACCAAATTTTACGAGTAACGTTATTAATTCTCTAATGAAAGCGTAGAAACGTTTATAATTGCAAACATACATCCATTAGCGTAATTGGTGAATAAAAATGATACCACGGATCGAAATGATAATTAACGCATCTACTCGTTTATGTGTTTTCGCGTTTTACCATTTCCTCTTTCTATTGTTTATTGTTTAAAATCGACGGTGTTTTTGTGTGTATGTTGTTGTTTAATTAAGCGCTAATCCAAAAATCAAATCTAAGATTAACTCTAGGATTAACTACATATTTTGTTGAGGTCGATATTTTAATGTAATAAATCAAACGATGTGAATTACAGCACGCGCAACTAGGGTGGTTATTATTAGACTAAAAAAATGGAGAAAGCTATATAAATTGAAATTCTTATAAACGGAACGATAAAGACGAATATGAATGGTAATATAGGAGCTCACAAATGCTTCTCTATAAATATTTATGAACAAATGAACCTTACAAACAGTCGACTTCCAGAGCACTTCTTCGACGAATGCAAACTAGATTTTCTGCTTTTCCGGGCTTGAAAATAATTGTTGATTATGGCCGTGCAGAAACATCGTTAACTAAATTTACACGAAACTTGTCAAAATTACAGACATTCGCATGAATGCGAAGAACTTAATATTTGTTCTAATTTGAATATGCATGTCCCATTTACAAGGTGTCAAATGAGAGTTTTTTCCAGTTTTTCATGTTATTCTGAACGAATTTGGGTCAATGTCTTCATAAATATTGAATTTGTATCGGGAGTACAACATAAAAATGAATTATCCTTTAACAAATCGATCATATTACGCAATTAATTTTAGTGGCGTATCTTTTCGCAGTGGTGAATGAAGATATTGAACAATTAGTCAACGGTTAATCTGAGCGTCACTTTGCGTTAACCACTGGGAGGGATAATTAATCCTTGCTTGTTGATTTACTAAGGTAATTTATAATAAAAAATTCCAAATATAAGATATGAGAATTTTAACCGTCTTCATGCGAGATCCACGTCAATTTATTGAAAAGCCGTTTAGTAGAAACAAAATTCTTGGACAGGTGATTATTTCGCCTTATACTTGTAGTTTCGGATTAACTTTAAAGTTACAGAAGCTGAGAGATATTGGACTCGCTTTTAAAAAAATTATTTCCTGTTTTCAGAAAGCAAGTGGGCGATGTTGCGGAACGAACTGTTCGGAGCACTCCAGACTGGAGCGAAATGGCTGTCAATGGAGACCACCTGTGGGTACCCACGTCGGTTTCAGGAGATTTTTGTTATGTGGGCGATCCCGATTGCACGGTAAGTTTGTGACATGTTTACAATTTGTTTTATTGAAAAATTTTGCCGACATTGTAGTTACATATTACATGTATTTTATTTTATTTGACATCTACTTTTATGTGAAGGCGTTTTTAAAATGGAAATCTCTAAGGAAATCTTATTGTCCTACCACATCCTTACACCTTCGCGCTTTTGATTTTAACTCATGTGCTACTCTTGCATTGTTATCTATACAACGTGGTTGCGCCTGTGGTAAGTTTTCATGAAGCATAGGGAATGACAAGAAAAATGCACCCCCCCTCATCAGTCTGTTGGTTCTACAATGGGCGTTCAATAATTTTTATGTTCAGATATCCTGTCAGATTTGTTTCTCACAAATACCGTTTGACTTATCCAACATTGCAAAAATTGATGCTTGACAGCTGTCAATCTTGCTCTGTTTAACTGGCTTGCATACTTTTTGAATGTTTTTGCGTTTTTACTAAAATTAAATCAGTTTCTTCCGTCCGCTGAAACACAAATTTTAATGAGACCAACTTTGCCGGGAAGTCCGCTCACAAACAGTTGCTTTAAAAGTAAACGGTATAATTAAAAAAAATTAAAGATTAATTAAGACAAAAGAAAATATGACGTATATGTAAAATGTGGACACGGCGATAGCCGGCGGGACGGTACGGTAACCCGAGCACCACTAGAAGATTGGTAAACCCTGCTCCTGACCAAGGTCGTCGGTTTCGGAGGGGTTTCGTAAGTCTCAGGTAATCAGACGAAGGAAACGGCGATTTCAGGGAACATGCAATCGGTTACTGACAAATAAGCTAGAACAAAATTACGGCACACGAAAACGGTAGCAACGGAAACAGAAAGTATTAGCGGCATCCACTAGCTAAACGAAACAAATGATATTAAACCCCTTTTATAATTAACGAAATGAAAATATCAAACACTTTCCTTTTAACGTCTCGGCAACAGAAATCAAAATTCTTTTTTCTATTTCGGTGTCACAATGATGATTTTGTACAACTGTTTTCGGCCGAAAACAGTTGTACAAAGACAGTGATTATAGTCGTTTTTTTTGGTAACTCATCTCTTAAGTTGGCAGTTACTAGTTAGTAGAAGTAGGTACTTCGTTGGGTACTTCCATGTTTGAACTTCAAAATGTCAGTCTTACTACGCTGCCAACCTAAAACTTAACGGCATAAAAAGTGTTCCCAACATAAAACATGTTAGTTCTAATGTTCCCTATAGTTTCTGATAATGATTTTTTAAATTAAATTAAAGCACCGAAATAGAAAAAATAGTATGAAAAACGCGTGTTACAATGCTTTGTTGTAATACTCCTATCTTGCGGACACTCGTGGCTACGCTTCGCGTCGCCACTCGTGCCACAAGATAGTCGTATTACAATAGGTCGCATTGTAACACTTGTCTTTCAATATACTATTTAATACGGAATAATCGGTAAATTGCAATATTTTCAACTTTTAAAATACGACAAGATCCGAAAAGCCCTCTAAACCAAGCTCATACCTTTTATAGGAATTCCAAATACTGAAAGGGGACGCTGAGCTTTCCTGCGCGCTCGAGGAATTCGTAAGAAAACGTTCAAAAATTAAAACTTCTTGAATTAATTTCTCGGCTTCCGATTTTAATAAAAATCTAAGACTAGTCTTAAAATTCATGTTAGTTGAGCGCACTTCATTTGACACCAAACCCACGTCAAACGGATGATATACCGGGTGGTGCCTAGCGCGACGCAGCATAGGGATTTCAATGGTAATTTCTTTATAGTCAATTACTAGCTCCCCTAATTATTTTAGAGAAAAAGTTTAAAAAGTTTTTTTAGAGAAAAAAATACTGAATCTGTTCATGCTATTACTCATAATTTTCCGTTTTTCAAAACCGTAGAAATCAACAAAATAAAAAGGTTCATTTTACAATAAATCAGATATGCCTTGGAATTACCTAAAGAAACAGCGATCACGTTTCATTATTTGCCTTTGACGTATATTAAATTTATACTTGTTTATAAATTAGTTGAAGAACTGCAAGAGCAATAACGTTCAAAATGTCCGTCAAAACCATCAGGAAAACGACAATACATTCAACGTTTTGGCTGCAGTAGCGGAAAATCCGAATATAAGTTTAGGAACAAATCTGCTTCAAATCAGTTTTTTTCTCTTCGATTATGTAGGTACTCTGATTCTCTCTGATAAACAAATAGTATCTGATGCAGATGCAGCATACATTCTCTAAAAAACATTAGGTACCCAATTGCCGCTTTTTCTTGCATCGGATAGTTGTAACAGAATTAAATATGAAAATTGTTCGACGTCAAATAACGATAACTTAGATGCGATGCGCTTCTAGTTTGTTGAAAGATTCCAAAGCATCACTGATTTATAAAAATGTAAGTTTTTATTTTGTCGATTTCTACGGTTTTGAAAAATGGAAAATTATAACTAAAAGTAGGAACAAATGCAGTATTTTTTTCTCTAAAAAAAACTTATTTAGACTTTTGTTCTAAAATAACTAGGGGAGCTGGTAATTGAATATAAACAAATTACCATTGAAATCCCTATGCTGCGTTGCGCTAGGCACCACCCTGTATACTACAACGCATTTAAGTACTACGGTTAATTATACTCACTTAATTGAGCTAGTTGAAATTTCTAAATCGGGTCAATCGCAAAGAGTTTTTAATAATGAAATAAACTGGGATTGTTTTGTAAAAGTCACTTCTTTTTAAAAAAATGTAATTTTTGAAACAGAAAGGAACTATAACTTTATATGCATTTAAAGAATGGCTTAAGGCCCTGTCAACAAAATCAAACAAGTAAACATATTTAAAGTGCCACAATAATTACAGTCCTCACAATAGCAAAAGTGAGGGTATTTTCAAAAAATACCTGTAATTTATATGTGCACTTAGACGCTGTTTTGTGGACCATGTAAACAAAATGAAACAAGCAAACAGAAATATTGGATGTACTACAAACTAGTATATTGACAGATAAGTGTTACGTGCAAAGCGACATAACACAACTATTTTGTGGCGCGAGGGACGGAGCGCAGCGGAGTTTCGAGTGCCCACAAGGTGGGAGTAATACAATAAACCATTGTAACACGTGTTTTTTATACTGTTTTTGCTATTTCGGTGGTTTAATTTAATTAAACAATAATTATCAGAAACTGTAGGGAACATTAAAATTAATATTATTGAGTTGGCAACACCCTTCACGATGTATGTATGTGTAAGCTGAAATTAGTCTTACAGTATACGCGGACGCGGAGAAATTCACAGTAAAGCTGCACAGCGTGCGCACAAATCAGAGGTAACATTGTTTTCCTTAAATTTAACTGAGATTAACACTGCATTAATATACGACCATTCAGTTAGGTAGCTTGTGTATGGGTGTAGGAATGCGTAAAATAGATAGTGTTTGTGAAATTTTCTGTCTTTTATTAATCTCCGTAAAATACACTCGATCTTGGTTTTAAATCAGGTAATTTTATTTTTAATGCACTCAAAATTTGTCGCCTCCTGGAAAAAATTCTCGATTATCATGCTTTTGGGCTCGAGTTTTTGCCGTTGCAAACAAACAAAACTTTCGTGTAAAAATAAAATTATCCATTAAAAATCAAGTGTATTTACCCCCGACAAGAAACAAGCACGGTGATTATTTTTTCGGCTTACGTTCATGTATAAATGCGGAACGAAAACAAATATTTGATTCAGAAAGTTAGCATCTTGGTTCAATTCACCCAACCCATGCTGCATTGGAGGACCACATAAAGAGCGGCTGTGCATGTAAAGGGAAAGTTTACAAGTCCTGGATGATGGGTATGGACTCTTGAAATCAGATAATGAAAGATTCTCTGGTCCAAGCGGCCACAGGTATGGAAGGCAGTCCGTACTCAGCTGCGGGCGTCATGGACTGTCACTGTTCCCTTGCATGCCAAAAATCAAAAATGTATGGCGGATTACTCAAACCAAGGGTAAGGATATTGTATACATTCGATATAATTTACTACAGAAATAGAATCAGCGAATCAGAATCACGAGATTACTATCACTTGGAACAAAAATAATGTCGTTGCTTGAGTTGAGGAATCTATTCCAGGAATGGCCATTCCCATAAATGATAATACGAGGGTATCGATAAGCATTTATTATTAAACCAAGAAATAGAAATATAGATAGAATTAACGGGATTTGTTTTGTGTATTTGAAATGCATGTATTGATTAACGTACAACTTGAATATTGTTACATCTATTGGATGTGAATTTGGAATGTGTTAAGTTTTCGCTGTATCAAAAACCAATAGATTCATGTCATCATTTTTGCATTTTGAGTTGACATTTGATTGGTTTGACGTTGAAGAATGTAAGTTCGTTTGCTGTACGAACTGCCAACTAAATACTAAAAGATACTAAAAGCTACTAAAAGCAATGCTACAAGGACGTTCATTGTAACACTGTTTGTAGTCAAAACAGTTCTACAAAATTCCCCTTGTAACACCGAAATAGAAAAAATTATAACACTCACAATAGACGAATCGTTATGTAAAAGAGAGTTTTTATAAAAAATTTAAAATGCATGAAACGGGGAGAGTCTATATTTTTATGTGAACTTAAAGGTTTCTCCACAACTTTGTAGGTATTTTTTTGAATTGAAAAGGACTGTACTTTTATGCGCATTCAAAGGGTGGATTATGGGCTCTGTAAATAAAGTCAAACTAGGAAACAAAGATATTTAAAGTACTTACCACAAAATTGACAGCCCTCATAATGTACGCCTGTTTATGTAAAAGTTGGTTTTCTTTATTAAAAAATTAATTTTTGAAACAGAAAAGGGGTCGAGTCAAATTCCACAGTATACGATCAATCGTTATGTAAAACTGTAGATCATTTACTGATCTTATCAAAGAATATGTAGGTATATGGATATAAAAATTAAACACAGCAATAGAAAATTATTTGAAGATTAATACTTTTATAGATTGACAGAAATTT